TAATGGTCAAATATTAGTAAATAGAAATGGCCGAATAATGTCAAAATATTTAATAGAAATGGCCGAATAATGTCCAAATTTGCTGTAGTAGAAATGACAAATAATGCATGCAGAATGTGTAGCAGAAATGGCCGAATAATGTCAAAATATTGTTAATGAGAAATGGCCAAATAATGTCAAATTTTGTCATAAGAAATGGCCGAATACTGTCAAATATTGTAGTAGAAATGGCCGAATACTGTCAAGAATATTGTAATAGAATGGCCGAATTACTGTCAAATATTGTAGTAAGATACTGGCCGAATAATGTCCAAGATGCTTGTAACAGAAAATGGCCGAATGAATGTCAAAGATTGTAAGTGATGGAGAAATGGCCGAAAATGTCAATAATTGTAATATGGAAATGGCCGGATAATGTCAAATAGTGTATATAGAAATGGCCGAATAATGTCAAATATTGTACAATAGAAATGGCCGAAAATGTTAAATGCGTATGCAGAAATGGCCGACATAAATGTCAAGACTGGTAATAGAATGGCCAAATAATGTCAAATGCTGTAGCAGAAATACCGATATAACCTGTCAAATATTGTTACGAAATGGCCGAAAAATTGTCAATGCTGTAAGCAGAAAATGGCCCATAATAATGTCAAATATTGTAAATCTGAAATGGGCCAAATAAGTCAAATAGTTGTGATAGAAATCGCCGAATAATGTCAAATGCTGTAGCAGAAATGGCCGAATAATTGTCAAATATTGTAATAGAAATTGCCGATAACTGTCAAATATTGTCTAGTAGAAATGACCAAATATGTCAAATGCCCTGTAGAGAATGGCCCGAATGAAAAATTGTCAAAAGTTGTTAATAGAAATGCGCCGAAAAATGTCAAATGATTGTAATAGAAATGGCCGGATATGTCAATAGTGTAAGGAAGAAAATGGCCGAATAATGTAAATATTGAGTAATAGAAAATGCCGAATAATGGTTAAATGCTGTAGCAGAAATGGCCGAATAATGTCAAGACTGTAAATAGAAATGGCCAAATAATTGTCCCAATGCTGTGCAGAAAATAGCCGAATAATGTCAAATATTGTAATAGAAATGGCCGGAAAAATGTCAAATGCGAAAAACCGAGAATTGGTCAAATATTGTAATTAAATGGCCAAATAAATGTCAATATTTGTGATAGAAATGCCGAATATGTCAAATGCTGTAGCAGAAATGGCCGAATAAATGCAATATATTGTAATGATAATGGCCGAGTAATGGTCAAATATTGTATAGAAATGGCCGAATAAATGTCAAATATTGTATTAGAAGTGGCCGTAATAATGTCAAATGCTGTAGTAAATGATCCAAGATAGCAAATGTCTGCGTATGCAGAATAATGGGCCTGAATATATGTCAAGAGACTATTGTTAAGAATATGGCCAATATGTCCAATAATATTGTAATATAGAAAAAATGCCGAATACTGTAAATATTGTAGTAGAAATGGCCGAATACTGTCAAATATTGTAATAAGAATGGCCGAATAATGGGTCAAATATTGTAGTAGACTGGCCGAATAATGCCAAAATACTGTAAGTAGAAAATGGCGAACTAATGTCAAATATCTGTTAATAGAATATTGGCCCGAATATATGTCAATATTTGTATATAGAAATGGCCGAATAATGTCAAATAGTGGTAATAGAAATGGCCAAATAATGTCAAATATTGTAAAGAAATGGCCGATAATGTCAGCTGTAAGCGCAGAATAGCCGAATAATGTCAAATTTGTAATAGAGGAAGTGGGCCAGACAAAATTTCAAATGCTGTAGCAAGAAATGGCCAAATAATGTCAAGTAGATGAGTAATATAAATGGCCAATAATGTCAAATTTGTAATGAAATGGCCGGAAAATGTAAGATGCTGTGCAAGAAAGTGGCCGAGATTAATGTCAAATATTGTAATGAGAAATGGCCTGAGTAATGTCAACTATTGAATAGAATGGCCGAATAATTCAAAGATTGTAATAAGAATGGGCCGGATATAATGTCAAATATTGTAATAGAAATGGCCGAATTAATGTCAAATATTGTAATAGAAGGGGCCCGAATAATGTCAAATGGGCTGTAGCAGAAATGGCCCGAATAATGTCAAGATTGAATGGCGAGAAATGGCAAATAATGTCAAAGTGCTAGTAGAAAGAACATAGCCGAATAATGTCAGAGGAATGGCCGAAAATGTCAAATGCTGTAGCAGAATGGCCAAATAATGTTCATAATATTTGTAATATAAATGGCCAAGATAATGTCAAATATTGTAATAGAAATGCCGAATAAATGTCAAAGCTGTGAGAAACATGGCCCGAATAATGTCAACATATTGTAAGATGAAAATGGCCCTGAGTAATGTCAAATATTGTAATAGAAATGGCCGAAAAAAATGTCAATGCCTGTAGCAGAAATGGCAGGAATAATGTCAAATAAATGTATAGGAAATGGCCGAAAAACAATGTCAAATGCTGTTATGCAAGAAATGGCGAATAATGGTCAATGATGTAATAAATGGCCGAATAATGTCAGTAGTGTAATAGAAATGGCCGAATGATGGTCAAATAATTGGTAGATAGAAAATGGCCGGAATAATGTCAATGCTGTAGCAGAATAGCCGATAATGTCAATATTGTAATAGATAAATGGCCGAAAATTGTCAATGCTGTAAGCAGAAATGGGCCATAATGGCGAAATATTGTTAATTATAAATGGCCAAATAATGTCAAATATTGTTAAATCAGAAAGGCCGGAATAATGTCAAATGGCTGTAGCAGAAATGCCGAATAATGTCAAATTATTTGTAATAGAAATGGCGAGTAAGTCAATAATTGAATTAGAAATGGCCCGAATAATGTCAAAGAATGTAATAGAAATGGCCAATATGTTAAATGCTGTAGCAAAAGAAATGGCCGAATAATGTGAAATAGTGTAATGAAATGGCCGAATAGTCAAATATTTGTAATAGACAATGGCCGGTAATGTCAAATATTGTAATAAGAAATGGCCGAATAATGTCAAATATTGTAATAGAGAAATGTGCGAATAATGTCAAATGCTGTAGTAAGAAATGACCAAATAATGTCAAATGCTGTAGCAGAAAATGGCCGAATAATGCAAATATTGTAATAAAATGGCCAAATAATGTCAAATATTGTACATGAAATTGGCCGAAACTGTCAAATATTGTAGTAAGAAAATGGCCGAGATCTGTCAATATTGTAATAGAAATGGCCGAATGACTTTCAAATATTGTAGTAGAACTGGCCGAATAATGTCAAACTACTGTAGTAGAAATGGCCGAATAATGTCAAATATTGTTAATTAGAATGGCGAATAATGCTCAATAAGTGTAATAGAAATGCCGAATAATGTAAAAAATTGTAATAGAAATGGCGGACATGAATGTCAATCCTGTAGCAGAAATAGCCGAATAATTGTCAAATTTGTAATAGAAATGGCCGAAAAAAATGTAAATGCTGTATGCAGAAATGGCCAAATAAGTGTAAAAATATTGTAATATAAATGCCAAGATAATGTCAAATATTGTAAATAGAAATGGCCGAATAATGTTCAAATGCCTGTAGCAGAAATGGCCCGAATAACTTGTTCAAATATTGTATAGAAATGGCCGAGTAATGTCAAATATTGTAAGTAGAAATGGCGAATAATGTAAAGATTGTAATAGAAATGGCCGAATAATGTCAAATATTGTATAGAAATGGCCGAATAATGTCAAATATTGTAATAGAAATGGCCGCAAATAATGTCAAATGCTGTAGCAGAAATGGGCGAATAATGTAAAGATTGTAATAGAAATGGCCATAACTGTCAAATGCCTGTAGCAGAAATGGCAGATATAATGTCAAATAGTGGTAATTAGAAATGGCCGAATAAATGTAAATATTGTAATAGAAATGGCTTAATAATTGTCAAATATTAGTAATAGATAATGGCGAATAATGTCAAAGTGAGTGTAATCAAAGAAATGGCCGAATAATGTCAAATATTGTAACTAGTAAATGGCCGAATATGTCAAATGCTGCTAGCAGAAATGGCCGAATAAATTCAAATATTGTAAATAGAAATGGCGAAAAAATGTCAAATGTGTAGCAGAAATGGCCAATAATTCAAATATTGTAATGAAATGGCCAAAATATTGTCAATATTGTACATATTAGAATGGCCGAATAATGTCAAATATTGTGGCAGATAATGGCCGAATACTGTTAAATTATTGGTAATAGAAAATGGCCGAATCAATGTCAAATATTGTAATAGAAATGGCCGAATAATGGTCAAATACTGTAGTAGAAATGGCCCGAATAATGTCAGTCATAACCCGATGCTGTGCAATATTGTCATATAATGTCAAGTAGTTTTGAAAAATTTCAAAAAAAAGTCTTGAGTTCTAAAACCTTTTGCCACTAGATCGTTCAAATGCGACTACTGGCCATGAAAATAAAAATGGATATTGCCGCGACTTTCTAAAGCCTACAACTCTGGCACTTATTGGAAGCCAAAGTGTTTTGTCGTTTTTGTCGAGTCCCAGTCCTGTGCAAAAAAACATGTTGACCTCTTCTATTGTACAATATAGCTGCTGTTTGCCGATACTAATCATTTCCTTCGCCCGAAGAGAGTAAGCAAATTCACATCTGTATTGTAATGAAGATTGCAATGCCATCTTCCATAAATCATAGAATATCTATCACCTATCGGCTAAACATATCACTTACGGAATAAAACTAAAAATGCTACAGTAGAAGAAATACTGTACTAATTTCATCTATATTTTGAAAATTCATTGACCCTTTTCTAAGTCTTGGAATTTTGTTGTTGTTGATTTTGATGCTATGAATGAAAAGTTATAAGATGCAGTGATTCAGCCTGAGGGTTGTAGAAAGATGAATCTTTGGGAAACAAAAAAGTACACAAAAAATGGAAAAACAAATGATACATACGTGGTTCAGGGCAAGGATGTATGTTACAAGATCGATAAGCCACCTCAATTTCATGATTCTCCGTTATGTGCCTATAGTAGTTCGTAGTTATTTTTTGTCGAGAGCGGTTCTGCTTGCCAGTAAAACAGTTATGACTGCAATTACTCCACTGACTCCACGGACGATAGATGGTTGTATTGACTATAAGGTGATAAACAGTTAAAGAACATTTCTGTACCATACAGTATTAAATAATATGATATGATATGATATAATATGATATAATATAATAAAATATAATTTAAGATAATATAATATAATATAATATAATATAATATAATATAATATAATATATATAATAAAATAATATAATATAATATAATATAATATAATATAATATAATATAATTATATATATGGTATAATATAATATAATATAATATAATATAATATTAATATAATTTATAATATTAATTTAATATAATAATATAATATAATAAATATATATTAATATAATATAATATAAATATTTAATATAATATATATAATATAAATAATAAATATAAATAATTATAATATAATATTAATATAATATAATAAATATAATATAATATAATATAATATCTGTTATTTATAACATAATGTATAAACAAAAATTACTGATGACATAAATCTATTCATACTTTTGATAAGTCAAGAAGTTAATTAAGTTTCTAAAACAACCAGAAAAATTTACAACAGATCTTTAAATCTTGATAACAAAAGATAGAAAATATAATCAAGTTTGACATCTGAAAACTACCCTGTAATAGTGAAGCTTATTAATTCTTTATGGTCTTCGAAATGTAACGACAACTGGTTTGAAATAAATACAATATAACAGAACATTATCAAAGAAGAGCACAAAGATGGAGATGGAACCAACGTACCACAACTTCCAAATTTTGTGGCGTTCTTGTCCAATGGACAAACAAAGTTGCAGTCACTGCCAACAATGCATGAGTTATAATATGAGACAGCCAAGTCGCTGAAAACAGTGTTTGGGAGAAAGCAGCAAATTTCGTTCTTGTTTGCATCAAGGGCTTTATAACAATTTTCTAAAAAAATAAATTTTGTTGATTCAGGAAAATTTAATCTGCTCGTTAAAATTAATTCACCTTCTAACAATTTATATTCTACACATAAAAATTATTTTAGCAAATGCAGCTTTATTCAATCAAATACATCTATTCAGTACAAAACAAAGTATTTATTAAACAAAAATGTACACAGTTGGTCAAACAAATTATCCAGTTAATTAAAACAGTGTCTTAGGTACAAAATAGAACTAACATGCTTTTCAAAAGCAGAAGCTTAATCATTTTACTTTTCAACAGTAAACCACGTGATAATCTGAAATAGGCCACTTTAGGAAGGGAAATTGCCCGAGCTGAAAGGTCGCCCTTAATTTCGAAAATTTGTATACAAACGTAATTAATTTTTTCTTTTAGATTACAATAGCTAACTTTTACGTAATTATTTTGCAATAGCAAGTATTGAAAAAAAGATAAACAAAATAAGAAATGTAATATATATAGACAAAGAATAAGATGGACTTATCTGACTTGGATTTAAACAAACATAACAACACTTGACTGATGCTTGTTTAACCTTGAATCAGATAGTTTAGCTAAAAAGATACCTACATAGCAAATTGATGATGCTCTTTATTACACTGTTTTATGGTAAACTGATGGCATTAATAAAAAAGACAGTATTTGATAGGAGTGTTAACTCATTTGGCTAGATCAAAGCACACCCATGCTTCTTCGAATTGACTTTCTAAAACTCAAATGCTTGAACGGTTTTGTATCTCTACTTGCAGCTTTTTGTTCAAAAAAAGACAATACAAAAACTATTAAACACGACATTTAACGATCCAATTCACTGTGTTTGTATTTTTCTTACAAAAAGCGTGTATCATCGCAAAACATTTTTTTCAAATAACAGTTTTTGTAGCTAATTTTTGGAAGCATTGCGAATGGGCATCAAAGTTTCATGGTTCACATTTGTGGTCGTGTTAAGTTATGTGAGTGCAGCTCCTTCAATTCAATCATTCAATATTTTAAAGGCACCTTATGGAATGTAGAACATTTCCAAGCATTTTCGGCTAAGATGCTGCCCTTTTGGAAATTTTAAGCAACGTTTGCGCCTCGTCATAATGTTTCTATGCATAATGCTTTTCGATTTTTGCTCATTTTTACACAAGCCAGCATATAGAAAAGACCTTAACGTTCTTCAGACATTCCCGATAAAATGGATATTATAATACTGAAATGTTTAAATTCTTAAAAGCTAGATACTTCAATGCTTGTCGAAGATCTTGCAAATTTTGCTTCTAGGAGAATGGACTTTGCTCCTAGGGTATAAAAGTTCTAAATACTGTTTGCTATTATTAGATGTTTGATTACAACTTTGAAAAATCAGTCTAGCACGAAAAGCTACTAGGGAAGGAAGTAGACAGTTGTAGAATGAGACCAGCAACAAAAAGCTGCATATGACTGTTTTGTGTTTAATTAGCCAACCATTTCAACGTGAATAAAGCCATAGCTTTATTCAAACGCAGTTGTAAATTAGGGGTTTTCCCAAATTAGGGTGTGGTCAACAAAAGTATCTTCCAGTGGAAAACCCCTAGACCCACTGGTGTCGAACTACTCCCTGCCTTTCCAATCTCTCGACCATGGCCACACCATTGCTGGTGATGGCATTAAGCGTGAAACTCAGAATAGCAAATGAATACCGTCTTTTTCTAGGGAACAAAAATCCTGCACAGCTCTGCCCATACCGTATCAAGCACATTCTGCCAAACCAGTAAAACGTACTTATTTTCAGGTCCTTTAGAATGGCCAGAGAAGAGTTGAGTTTGTAAATGGGTTACTGTCAAGGCCAAATTACGGTAGTTTAATGGAGGAAGAGCCGTTGATCATGTGGCCATATCGAAGGCAGCCTTTCTACTAGCCTGGGTTAAAACATACCCGGGTTAAAAGTTATCCGTTTTTAAAGTGAGTCAATGGAAACGGCATTTTTCTTCGACCCGTTCTTAATCCGTTTTTTGATCGTTCCCATTTAACTGGGTTAAAATGTATCCAGGTAAAAAGTTGTAAGAGAAATCAGTATTTGCATCAATAATCCTTCAATTTCCATCGTTGTAGGCCAATGGAAGCAACATTGACATCCAGGATTTTGTTTTTTCGATTTTTGGCACCATCTCAATTTTTAAACGTTGCTGTTGTTGCAAGTGGATCAGAAGTTATCCGGGTTCGGCGTTTCCATTAACTCGCAGGTGGGTCAAAACATACCCGGGTAAAAACTGACCCACTTTGAGACCCGTTTTCAAACTTATCCGTTTTTCAAGTGGGTTAGTGGGAACGCGACGCAAAAACGGATAACTTTTAACCCGGATATGTTTTAACCCAGGCTAGTGGAAAGGCTGCCAAATCACTCTGATCTAACTGGGTCGGCACATTTTGTGCCAAGATTCCTTTTTTATAGTATTTCGTAGCGCCTTTTGAGGTGACTGAGTCAAAATTCAAAAGTTCAAAATAGGTGTTTATGATGTCATCTTTTGTCATTCTATTGAATATAAAATGAATCTCCCAGCACAAGAACGCTATCGAGTGACGTAATTTATCGATTTTGTTCTTGTAACTATGGTTTGACCTAGCTTAACCGAAGCCTTAAAGATTTTTGCGAGAAAAGCAGCGAGGAAATTATGCAAAAAGGTCACCAGAAAATAGAACAACACTGAGGCTATAGAAGTGAATACTTTATTGTGCTTGTTCAGTCGAAATGGCTTGTTTAAACGTGCTTGACACTCACCATGCGCTCACTAGATCATTAAACTGGAGTTTCGAAAACAAAGTTTATGTCTTGATAAGAGTGATCGCAGAGGCGTTACAAAGTGCAACGGCGTTAACTTAATCAATAAAATTTGAACTTTTTGTGCTCTTGTCAATATTTTAGACCTAACAAACGAAATAAAGCTGCTACATATGAAAACAAACTGTAAAATGACAAGGTCAGGCTGTCAATACTAAAATATCATTTGCTAGGGATGGACATTACTGGTGATGCGTGTCCTGCCCGTCTCTAGATCTAATCAATGAACTAAGTTCAACTGAATTCAAAATTAGTTCTATACGTTTTAATCTTTATTGGCGATCAGCAGATTGATCAAACATGAACACCTGCTTTCAAAAATTATTGTTTGTGGAAGGGTCTTGGTGCTTTTTAATAACAGGGTGGCCAAAGCGGACGACAAAAAAGATTTATTTCTGCACATTGCTGTATGTGACAACATCTCGAGGACAGCTTCAATGCCTGCCAAAATTCTTTATACACAAGAAAAATTGTACTATTGGCATACCCTTGGTTAAAAACTCATAAAATATTCATTTGCCGTCAAATTTGCTTGTTTTCGTGGGCGTTGCCCCCCACCTGAAAAATGAATTTCCGTCAGTGAGTGTAACACCGTCAATGGTTTGGTGATTAATGAACTGCCCACGGTTTTCTAATTTCGGGTTGTCGAATTCCTGGAGTTTTTTGGTGGCCAAGTAAGGCGTAGTTAAATGGTTAAATTCTATAAATAACTAAGAATTGAAATACATTTTATTTCCGCATTTTATCGCATGTTGATCAAGTGGCTATGAATTTCCATGTAGTCTATTTGGCAGGTACTTGTGACATACCGAGAAATACGACAAACAGCACAAATCAATGAAAAGAACTGAGAATGAAATGGGAGAAAACAAGAAAGATAGAAAAAAATCTGAGCAAAAAGAGGAAGGGGAGAAATGATATTATATCGAGTAGCTCTGAGGTCCAATTGCCTCCTGACTATGCCCCAAAGACCTTGTTTGTACAATTGTTGACTGTACTGTACAATTGCAGGGACTGTTGCCACATATTACAGCTGCACAGCAAAATGTGGAGGCGCATTCAAGCGGCAGCTAGTACCTTGGACTTTTGGCCAAGTTAACTTGGTTGCCGGGAAAATTGTCTTTTAGCTGCCAAAAGCTAGCGCTGGAAGTTTATGAACACCAAAGCCAGTCAGATGACATTACAAAATTCATGTAGTTTTTTCAACGGCAATCATAAGTTTCCTTGCAAAGGCAAAAACAACTTTGCTGCAACAATCTATTTGATTCGAACTGGCCTCTCAGACAACTTTTATCCTTAAAAAGTGATTGGGCCGGGGAAAAAAGCCTTACCCTTTGTGTATCTGACGTCCTCTGCAGACTGGCCCGTGGCTGCGTTACTGAAAAGGCAGTGCTCAGTTGCTTTTTCAGATTACTCGCGTCAATAAACAGTTCGGAAAGGATTTATTGTCATGCTTACGGTGAAAATAAAAATTTAGATCAGAAGGACGTTGCTTGGATAATTGCTGAACCTGAAAGAAAAATAAACATGCGAAGCGGAAACACCGTTTCAAATTTTGAGGAATATTTTACAAAAGATACAAGAAAAACTTCGCGAATGATGAATAGTGAAAAACTTCATCCGGAGGAAGTCTGAGGCATTTTCTGAACTCCGACACACGCTTTATTTCAAAGAAGGACTTGACTCCAGTTTCAGACTAGCTATTCCTATTTTTTTCGCATAAATTCAGCCTAACGTGTTTATCAATTTGTGTTTATGTTCAATGGGATTTCTTGTGCATAGTAGCGTCTGGTTATGACATGTGATTGATAGAGTAGTTGATTCAATTTGCTTATCGCCTTCTTTTTTTCTGTTGCTATTATTTCGTTTTTCAGTTTTCGCTGTCATTTTGAGTTTTGTTTCTTATGCCTTGTTTCTTATGTTGTTCTTATTTTTTGGGCAAATCTCAGCCTGATGTTTTTCATAAGGGTTGTTCTTATAAAAGAAAAAGCATATATCAAACAAAAATTATTCCATTGAAAAAATTGTTTTAGAAAATCAAAATCGTCTGAAGGTTTGAAAGTCTAGCAAAATTGAAAATAGAGAAGATGAATGCGTATTGTTCGTCTGTTCGAGATTCATTGATGGGAAACAGGTTACGTGATAGAGAGACTTTCATTGGTTGAAAGGAAACAATTAAACTTTAATAAAAGGTTGGCAATTTGTAAGACTCATTGAAACCAAATTGGTGGTTTAATAAATTGTGAAACGCTTTCAAATCTAACGACAGGGCTGGCTTGTTTGATGAAAACGTTACTGGTGAGGCGGAGTGCGGAGAATCCTAGCGAATATTAAAAACACAAATTTAAAACACAATACATTAATCGTTATATTTGAACATTCAATAAGTACGACACCGACAGTTTGCGAAGCAGCTGCAAAATTTGAGCTGAAACAGTCAAACATCTCGAATCTTGAAATGAGGTTACCACGGTAACAATTGAAACGAAAGAAAACATTTAACAATCTTAATGGAAGATTCTTTTTTAATAACAGAATCGTCATACAAAACAAACTCGTCGCATCTTAAATTTTGCCGTTTTCGTATTGCGAATTCCACATCAACCTGGCAATAAAAAGTTATATATATCGATTGTCAATGGAAACGCATTTCGCGTCTAGGTCGGATAGCAAAATACCGTAAAACTTCAATTAAGGCCCTTTTTGAAAGCAGTACCTGTAATGTTGGCAAGATTTACCTAGTTCTTTTATCATTATTATAAACTGTCCATGAGCGCAATTGATTTCAGAATTTTTATAATTGGATCTCCATTAAGTTATCACGCTATTTTCAACTATACATTGTTAAAAATATTTTAAAAGCACTATGCACATTTTATTTTAAATCATGCTACATATTATTCTCAACAAAGGCTTGAAGTTGCTGTAATGCGGCTATGGTTTTACACGGCTTTTTTATAAGAAGCAGGCTGTAAGGAACGAGTACTGGACAGTCAGCAAAAATTAAGAAACTCCAGTACTCGAAGCAAAGAGATTAAGAAACTATTAAATCGTGATAAAAATGATAACAACGAAACTTTGTAAAACCCAAGAACATGGTTGCCCTGATGGCCTAGAATTAAAAACGCAAGGGATAAAAATATTGCAGAGGCCAAAACGACAACGAGAAGTGGCGAGATAAAGAATGAATTCACTAGGGCGCAATCTTGTGGCAATGAGGATATTACCGTAAGTCCTCAAATTGCCCCCCCTCCCCTTCGGAAAAGCCCCCTAGTCAATAAGCTCCCCTCCCTCCAATAAGCCGGCACTGCTGCCGTAAATTCTCAAACTTGACCCCTCGATTTGATGATTTTTGCCATCTGAGGTTGCCTATGGCAAATTACCACAACAAATTCATACTTTTGGTAGTAATTAATTTAATGCTCATAAGGAAATTTCTACTAAAATAAACGAGGCCTTTTAATAATGTCTTCTTAATGCCTACAATAAGCCCTCCCTCGAATAAGCCCTCATAATAAACAAGCCCCTAGGGGGCTAATTCGAGGATTTACGGTATTTATGGAATCACTCAAGGGCATCACATCTTATCGGACAAAAGGCTACAGTTGAATCCTGTTCAGTCGAATCTTTGAACAAGGAAATGGTCCGAGTAAAAGATAGGAAAATCCAGCAAGAGTTGAAAGTCAGTCCAACTTAGTGAAAGTCATTGTTGAAAGTCAGTCCGAGCTATCCGGGGACGATTTGGCGGGATTTAACAGTATTCTCAGCCTCAGCCAATGAAGCCTCAGTCTGCTTTTTAGGCCTGAGTTCAACATCGAACTTCTCATGTGTTGGGTCTTATATATGTATTTAGCTCATGGCAAGCTTTTGGCGATTAACTTCATTAAGTCCAGCATGTTGAATTCGGTAGGGCGAAATGAACTAGGTTCGACTGACTCAGTTGCGCTACGTGACACTGGAGCGGCAGTGGCACGACATGGAGTTATCTTTCGTTCTTCTCGTGTGCCGAATCCTTTGCACAAATGAGTCATACACTAAAATGAATTGGTTGTGTTCTCAAACGCATCAGAGGATGCGTAGATGATGTGCAGGGGATGCGCAGAACAAAAACGTCTTTCTCACGTGTGTGACAAATTTTCAAGTATGTAAATAAAATTTTTTACGAACACTCGACAAGTTTTCTTGAATCCTTCTCCATCGTACATTCATCCTATATCCCCATCTGAGAATACTTTCTAAAAACATCTGCAGCAGTACCGAGAAATAGTGAAAAAGCACTCTACCTTCACTAGTAAAGAGGTGCACCCTAAGCTGCTGCTAGGACACAGCCTACCTAAGTTTACTGTAACTGAGAGTGAAAAACTTAGAAGTGACGTTTAGCCGTGATAGAATCGCGCAATCGGCAAACTTAGTTGTATTCGGGTTGGCACGTGACAAATTCGACCTTTAACTAAGGCCCATGAAAACAACAGATTTGGTGCAAAGCAAGAAATGGTTGATAAACTCAGCCATCTTACTAGTTTTATTTTCAGGATAACTTGCAAAAAGACAAGCAGAAAGCAAAATGGTTACACATCTGCGCTTCAATTTTTGAACTCTTTTTGAAGCAGGTATCTCTGACGCATCGTCAACAATCTACAGTTAAAATGGAACCTGCTTGAAGATCAAATCAAGTTAATGCCAACGTCCACATCACGGATGCCAAAAAATCCTGTCTCCAAATACGTTTTTTAAAAGCTAATTGTCAAGCGATGAAGGAGCAAAGCAAATATATTCCGAACACATTATATTATAGTCTGTCTGTAAAGTGTGCAAGTACGAAACTCGGAGTAACAGAGAACATGTCTCATTTCTAGCCTATCTTCTATTTTATATATTCTGAACACATAAATTTTATGACTCGCTGACAGCGCATATATTCAACTTACCGCTGACCTTAAGAGCAGCAATTTCAGATGAATAATGATAAACCTTGGTTTGTGCCGCGAAAAAAACAAGCGATACAATTTTCGTCGAAATTTGAAATTTTTGTTGTTATCAACCTCTTCAATGTTAAGGAAGTAGTGGAACAGAATTTTTAAACTGAATAATCTAAGCAATAAAGCGAAAGCATATTGTCCGCTTGAAACCTACCGCAGCAGTAGGAACTTTGAGGCAGTTTGGTCTTCAGGATATTTGCTTAGGTTCACATTGAAAAATCTTGAAGCACTATCATACGATGTTGTTATTTTACATGACATTATTATTAATCAGATTGGACCCTTGTAAAAAGATTTGCTCGTCTTTGACTTGGAACCCAGGACGTTTGACTCCAAGAAATGTCCGGCTACAGGGGGATAACCTAGGGACAAATTCGTACAGAAGGCCACTCCAGCAATACCACTGAAAACGTATGCTACACGACGAGGGTCAATAACCGCCCAGCCTGCAAAAACAGTGTGCCTTGGACAATATTGAATGACAAGTTGCCGTTCATTCAACCCGTACACAAAGTGGGGTGGCTTCACCTTCCAGGCTAGAGGGGTGGAGGGTCATGAGTAGTAAAACTTACAGACGAAGACATAGATAAAGAGAAATTCAGGTGTTATTTCACCTACCGATAGACTATTTTACCGACAAACCAGGGCACTATTTCACCAAATAAAAATTTACCGGAAAAATCATGAAGAATTTGGGGGTTGTCATACCCCCTACATCTCCCCGCTAGCTACGCCCCTGCCAACACAGTCTGATTCCAATGGACCCTAATCAAGCTGTGAGATAGTTGGTCGCCTCCTTCATTCCTCTAAAGGAGGCTCTTCCATTTCTCCCCCGAACAAAATATGGATGTCTTTTCTTGTTTTCCTTCTTAACGACAGATTTTAAGAAAGCAAGAAAGGACGAAGAGGGTTAGGTATGCGAAAAATTGAATCTGCAATTTGAATCTCGCTACTATTATTTATTTATATTATTATTTATTTAAATGTCATGATAACAATCTGCGGTTCGCTTCATGGGTTCTACAACTGAATATAATAAACTCTTTGAACAAGAAATGTCGTAAATAAATGATATTTTATATAAAAGCTTCAAGATTACTGCTTACTAGGGATGCAAAAGACCCGTATAAGGTTGCAAAAGTTTCTTTGGTGCCATCCAGAAATTTTGTCTGAGGTCTAAATAGGAATTTGAATTTAGTCGGATTTGTTTTTGATCTAGCACTTAGACATGGCTACAGATCTAGCACTTAGACATGGCTACAGCTTGCGAGTTGTTCCGGAAGCAACGTTCGAAATTGCAACGAGAAATTAGTGATAAAGAATATCGGAGTAAGAATCAATGGCAAAATTTCTTCAAGCGAAATAGGAATTGTGTAGCATCGACCTTGCTGTATCTTAGTAGCCATGTATTGACCTTGAGACAGATGATCTAAAACTGACACCAATTCAAATATAATTGACGAATATTGCTGAGTTTTGGGCAAATCAGTAAAAACATCTCATTAGATTGTGTGTGTTGTTTCTAACATCTTAGAAGGAAGAAATTGCTAAAGTTATTAGCAGTACTGCTTTAAAACATAAACGACGAAAGACAGAATTAAAATCTAGATATGATTTAGCTGCTAATCTTGATTGAAACAGAAGATTTTAGTTCGAGACAATTCTATTGTCTAAAACAGGATTACCATGCCGGTTCGTTATAACGGCAAATGGTTATCTTCTACAAAAATGTCCACAGTAAACGAAAAGTTTTGTATGAAAGGAAATTTTTAATAAAATTCACAAAGGTTAGGATAATGAAAAATGTTTGAGGCCGCGTCAAGCATGCGTGCAGCGGTTTAACAAAATTTTGCTTCATACTTTCAGACATAAAACTGAATGCAGTGACTTTTTCAGATCTGACAGATTTTCCAAGATTTTTATTTTCCTAACACTTTACTTTGCTAGTGTTTGTCAATACTATTGGTAGAAAATCAACGGAGAAAAATCAGTTAAGTTTAATGCATCTTTCCAGTGATACAATGACTGTAAATTCATAACTTCACAGTGTAAATGATAATTCGCAGCAGAATGAAGCAAAAAGGTGTAGTTTACCTTGGCAATGTTGCGTATTACAAGGCCGCTGCTGGAAAGAATTCCCGGTGCAGTTAGTTGCAGTACCGCATGTGCGATTCCGACTTTGTTGTCCTTCATTGCATTTCTGACTACATTCTCCCCAGTGAGACCATGATTGCCACGAGGAAGTGGTGGTGTCTAAAAAGATAGCGACGAGAATAGTACTTGTAAGAAGCAATTGAAATTTACTGCATTTTAGCGAGCAAATTTTCCATGAAAACATGATGAACCCGCCATCAAAAGAAGTTCTCGACTCTCGGCTATTAAGAGCGAGCGTAGTTATTAATAATACAGCATTAGCTAGCAAGGGGGGCGCGTCAATGGTGTTGATGTTGGCCGGTGTCCACGCAAACAATGAGAAAAGTTTGTAAAATACTTTTCACTCATTTCCCCGTTCGTACAAACTTGACTTTCCAAAATGCTAGTTATTTGCAACTGTATGCAAAACTGTAGGGCCTCCTGTTTTGAATCAGATTGGGTTATTAGTTGATACATTGAGCACTGGCATCCAAAAGCTGGATGACTAAATTCAACTCGAGCTAATTGAAATGCTGCTACTAAGAAGCGGATCAACGAGTTTCGTTGTTGGTGGATCTGAACTCTTACATTACAAAAAACATAGCAGAATTTCTCTATGGTTATCATATAAAAATACAACAAAATCTTAATTACGAAGTACTTTACACCATGATTTCAAATAAGCTCAGCTTTAATTCTTATTATGACGTCATGCAAAACGACGATGGAAGACTGACTGAAACAACCTAAGTCTTTAAAAAGGCGTTGCATTATTCCTTGGGTTGTTGGGTGCAGACAAAGGCTGTTATGAAATCTGAAAATTTGCAAAAAGGGGGCTTGCACGACATTAAACATACAAGCAATGAAAAAAGTTTACAAGAAACTCAATAACCGCAATTTTGCAAACAAATATATGACAGGTAAAGTTTTTCTTGTGAAAGCCTAAACCGATTGTAGCAACAAAAAAGTGCGGGTGGCAGCTTAATAGTCTGCTGGAATGACCATCGTGAACAGAAAAGTTTGTACTTAACCATAGAATTAATGGAGAATATTCAACAAACTTTCCATGACAGGTTGTGTACAATCGGCATTCTTTTACCAAACAAAGAGGACGATAACTGTTTGCCATACTTCAAAGATAAAATTCCAAGATTTTAGTGATCCAAAATGAAGACAAAAGAAAATATAAATTGATTACAAAATTAATAAGTTTTGCACTAATCGTATCAACTTGGCGAAATGTTTCTCTCATTATCATAGACTTCAAGAAATTTAATTCTTCTACCAAGATAATATCTTATATTTTAAAACCTGGATGCCAAGGAATGGTCACTGGTAATTCGATGTTTATTTCACAGATGCTTCCCTTTTCTATTAAATGTAGTAAAGAAGACATACGGGGAAAATCTTTATTCTTGAAAGAGGCTTGAAGTAAATCCACATGGATAAAATAGAAGCTAACACATAAATTTTAAGAACAAGCAGGGAACAAGAGGAAGAATTTTTAAATGATATCTAACTAAAAATTCAATTACTGCAATACTTGTTATAAAAATATACGGCAAGACGAGTTATGTAAGAGGGTACCTGATGTGTTTTTCAGGGTAGCGGGAATCATCATTGCTTGGAGAGGGGAATCGGGGAATGGGGACTTTTTGGAAGCCGGATTCGCGGATTCGGGAATTGATGGTCGGGAATTGGGCTAAAAACGTAGCGAGAACCGGGAATCAGGGGATCTATTGGGGACTCCCATATAATTTGATTTTTGACAGTTTGTGAATTTTTCATAGACTTCATATTGCAAAGGCGTAGATCACGTCACAAAGCCCTTTTAAAATAAACCATCTCATATCATTGCGGAAAACTTTTTGAGTGTTTTCTCGTATCATAGGACTTTTACAACAGCTATGTGGGCGGTTGCAATAAAAACTTGCCAGCCCACAGAACTGGTGCCCAGATAGATGGGATACTCTAAACACGCAACAAGAAGCAGGTGCCTGACGCGTTTAGCTATGGGCTCTCAGGTGAAGGCATTTATAGGCACTATGAATGTTTTTCAATTGAAATTGTTCAAACATATCTACAACAGAAAGTCATAATGAAACAATCTATTGCTAAATGTGACGTTGCTAAATTGACAAAGCAAGACCTCGCAGTTTTTACACGTGGGGCGCTATCTTATGCAATAAAGCCAGTGGCACCGAGTTGAAATTGGATTTTGGTCGAAAAGATGTTCGTCTATAAGATATAAGAAATCGACCTTCATCGTTATAGCACGCTACTGTAATGATCCTTTGCTTTAAATGCGCGTGAGTTTTTTCCATTCAGAAGATGACGAAGAGTACCCAAGTGTGACGCCATCAAAATCTGTTTTTAGAAACTTTGATTTTTTTTCACATAATCTGAATGAAGTTTGCTAACGGATTACTGTTATTTTGGCCTGGTTCATAAAGTTATGGACTAAGACCAAATTACAGAGGTTTGATGAAGGAAAGAGCCGGTGTGGCCACATCTCAGCTAATTTGTAACATTTTCAACTGACTTTTCACGTTTAGAGGTACTTCATCGTGCTTTTTTGGGATATAAATATTATGATCATCGTTATAATAGAATTTTGCTGTAATGATCTTTTACTTTCAACGCCCTGCGCTTGGGTTTTTTCAATTCAGATAATGACGAAGAGCGTCGCGTTATTGAAATTCAAATTAAGCCAGTAATTGAAATTAATGCTGCAATTCTTGCTTATGCAGCAAAAATAGGACAATTACTGCTTTTACTGTTATTTAGCATTGCAATTAAACTCAGTGTCAATTATTTATTTTTCTAAAAAAAACTCTAAATAACTTATAAAAAACTAAGATTACTGTTGAATTGCATTATGTCTTTAAAGTGCATATGACACGAAAATTTTTTATTCGCCCCCAACACGTAATCGAGTATGCTGATCACGAAAATCACCATTAAATTTTCGAAAAACAAACACTTTCGTAATTACAGCTGCTCCAAGGTCGATTTTTGCTTCAATTTCTGTCACAAGGGATTGGGTCGAGTTTGACAGGAAGTGACGTAAAGTGGTTGTGTTAGTGGTCCACTAATAGTGGAAATTTAGATTGCTAACTAACAAGAAAATATACGGCTGAGTTTTACCTGCGAGTTTATGAACATGTCTCACGGCAAATATTCAAGCTCGAGGGCGTCAGCTTTTGACGAGAGTGAAGGAGAATAGCTTTTAGGTGCTGCTGATGGGCTATTTTTGCCTTGCAAGAACGAACCAGTCTTTTTTCTGCGGATAATTCAGACGCGGAACCAGGCGAAGCTGGCATGGCTCGAAGCTTTCATGACCGGGCAGAGGACGAAGATGGAATACAAAAATCCCAACTGCGTGATCGATGGCGAGGAAATATTACTTTGAGTCAATGGTGAGTGGAATAAGTTGTCATTGTGTTTTTTAGTGTTATAAATTCAGTATTCTCTGTACATTTCTGCTGTTTTTAGGCCACCATTCCCTGATCATAGCGGCCTGGCCTATTGCGTTGTATGGGCGAATGAAGAAAAAGTTTTACAAATACTGTCTAGTTTTTATACTGTAAAAGTTATCAATTCTTAGAATTAGTAAATTTAATATTTTATTTTCATTAAATCTGGCAGAAATGAGTATACCATATACATATAATATATATATGTAATGTTATGATCCTGCCGATTCTAAAGAATGTAAGGGAAACTCAAATCAACCATTATATTAAGTCATACAATGTTTTTGTTCAATAGGTATCTCTGTGCAATGGCATACAGTCTTGGTGTCTGTCAGAGACAAACGCAGATACTTCAATTCCAGAACTTCTGAGAGATTCAAAACCTTGTTGATGCCAAAGCAACTCCATCTGTGCAGAGCTTCCGTTAACGCTGCTTGCCTGTGAAGAACGAGGAACACAAATTTCAATGTTTACATTTAACAAAAAACATGATCCAAGATTAATTTTTTTGGTCTTGACCAAGGCTGACCAAGTCAAAGACCTCTATTTCTGTTATACAGAAACGACTGAGTCCGTGATTTAATTGAAAGTTTTTATATCATTTTTTGTTACTTGATGACTTCTGTTTATTGTTGATGACTTCTTGATGACTTCTGTCGATTCTTACTTGCATTTTGAATCTTTATCCCATAGAATATCATTTCCCTGCTTCTTAAATATTTCTTGAGTTGCCAACCCCCTGCTTTTTTAGGTTCCAAAACCTTTTTCGCTTTTGTATAAAATATTGAAGTAGTTTACATTTGTTTAAATGGTTTAAAAAATAACTGCAAAATTGAATATTTGGGTTATTTTTATGTATTAAAAACGGTGATATGGACCCCACACAGAGAGACAAGGAGTCCCTTTTTTCCATAAAGCGAGTGCCCCCGGTGTTTTCGACGTATCTCAGGTGTTAAATGAGTGTATTTTATTAAACTGCATTTATTTTTCTGTCATTGGCTCCTCCTCGATTTACTCCAAATCATTATTCATTTTCGTTTTCTCCTAATAATTATGCTTCTGAGCACAATTCGCGTCTTTTTCTTCTTTTCTCGAAACTCTAGGCCGTTCCCTTATACTCGAAATTTGTCGGCGCCTTTGAAAAAAAGTGATGAACTCGATTTTACTCTGCTTTCGTTCAGAGTAAAATTTCCAATGATAGAGGATTAACAGCAAATAAGCGCATTAAATTCTGCAGCGAAAATGGACAATTTTAGTATGTTACACGATCACTGTAACCCGGCCTTTACACAATAGAACGTTGTTAGGCAGTTATAAAAAAACAATAGGAAACTTATTACTCACCATGCTTTTTTAATTCTTGCTTCGTTCTTTGTCTTGTTTTGGTTTACGAACTGAGGGTAGAGCATCACGTCGAAAAAATGTTTTGGTATTTTCGGTGTCAAAACCAGGAGGAGAGGGAAATGTACGGGAAAAATCAGTCGGAAAAAGGTGATTTTGAATAAGGCTCGATATCTTTACGCTGCATTTTTAATAAGTAATGCCAAGCGGCGAACTTCTGTTGGGACAGGTTTTCCAGGATGGCAGTCAAGCACAACGGTATCTTCCTCAAGGGGGTATTCGTTCCATAAAGTCATGCACAACACTTTATTTCAATTTTTAACAATTTATAATGAACCAAAAAATTTTTCTAAATTTCTTTCCGACCTTTGATGGCATTGCTTGAGTTATCTAAATAAAACTTATTACAATTATGGAGGAAAAAATCTTTAGGGGGACAACAGTAGGT